GTGAGAGTGGGTCTCAGACGAGGTGTAAAAACTCTCTATTATATTGACTACGTGAACAAGAAGTATCTTTATTAAGTGTATAGATGTGCTCATATCTGCAACAAGATTATTTAGCCTACGTAGACAACACGTTCATTCCGTTATTGTCTGCTAATCTGATTATATATGAATACATTTATTCTTTACCTCTCTTCTATGACCTTAAACCAGCTAGTATAATGGTGTCTACATATAATCTTTCTCAGTATAATTTGTGAATAGGTCAGGCATTGTAAGAATCTGGGTGTTTTCAAATACTTGAGATCCAAGCGGACATCAAGTTAGTAAGAGTGACGCGAACCGTTTCCTATTGTATTACATGTTAGATGTTTCATGATGGAATGACATTAATCGAGATATAGTGAAGTAAATATGCGAGATGCCCACGATCAGCAGCATACGGTGATGACACGTACCTATTCTTTCCAATGAAAGGATAGTTTTAAAGTTTAAAGATTTTAAATTGTGCCCATATGTATACATGGGATTCAACGTCAAGTCATAGATGTTTCATATTTTATGAAGCTTATATTTATATTGTGCGTACTGTATGTATTAGTCTGGGAACCCTAATCCAAGCTGACCAGGCCTTGTCTGATTCCCTTAATGTCGAGTACAAGGCAAGGCAATAACAAGTACAATCTTTGACTGACTGACTGACTGAGTTTGGTTTTACGCCGTGTTTAGCAATATTCCAGCAATATCACGGCGGGGGACACCGGAAATGCGCTTCACACATTGTACCCATGTGGGGAATCGAACCCGGGCCTTCGGCGTGACGAGCGAACGCTTTAACCACTAGGCTACCCCACCGCGCAAGTACCATGTTCTAGAGTCGTATGGTCTCATACATTCAACAAAATCGTGTTCAGAAATACATTTATGAAATAATGTTAATGATCAACCAAAATCAACTGGGTTTTTTTCGTACCAATGTTGACAGGATGGCAAATGAGTGAGTATGGTTTTACTAATATTCTAGCACTACCACGACAGGGCGATGCCAGAAACCTGCTTCAGGCATTGAAGTCGTATGGAGAATCGAACCCGGGTTTTCGGGGTGACGAGTGAACGCTTTACCCACTAGACTACACCACCTCCCCTGATGCGAGACATATATCTTCATGGTCGTGAAAGTGTCTAAATATATTGGTTCCAAAAATACCTCGTGATGGAGGAGCTAAATAATTCCTCACCATATCACAGACATTTCAACATAGCAAATCCACTGTTATCTTTTTTGTTGATTCTGCCTCTGTCAAGATCGGGCCTGACGTACAAGAAATTCAAACGTAGTTAAACGAGAGTACGTGATTATAAATCCGGTTGGTATTTATTGCCACAACGACAAATGGTTATGGTGATATTGACGTGATAACGTACCTGACGCGATCACACCAACGACATAAAATGTCGTGCTTCAATTAACATTTTTATCTGGTCTTGACTCAGAAATCTGAAGTTTACTTTTCTGTGTTGGTGCGACACTGCCGAAGATTAGAAATGCAATATCTTTGAAAATACATTGACATTTTAAAATTCGCATTTAATGTATAACGTAACACTTAACTGACATTCACATTTCAAATTGTAAACATATCCACGTAATTAACACCCTATCTATGACTTTCGAGTGGCCACGATAAATATGAGCTTGACCTTTAAACGACGCAAAAATATCACTACGGCACGTCAATAAGCAACGGCGATGCACTTATATCACTAAGTTTACTCGATTAAGTTCAAACGTGGAATCTTTGAGTGAAATTGAGCAAGGAGACGTTTTATTATACGTGTCAGATTTCATCAGCGTATAATATACGTTGTATTACTTGTCTCTCACTCTTTTTGAAAACTTAATATGAAGCAATCATAGCATAAAATAGAAAGCTATGTTTAGAGTGAAAGTAGCCGATCACTGAGAGGCTTATTACGAGGTTGTCAGAACTGAAATGCTAGCATTGATGAGTGTCTTTCTCGTTTATAACTGCATGTTAGATGCTTGCGTTGTGTTGGCGTAAGGGTATTGATCATTGTACTGGACACCTGAACACGCAAATTTATTCGAATACCAATATTTTAATAAAACAAGGATTTATATATGATTTAACAGAATGGTGCACATTTATATCATCATGGACGTCCATGTCTCAAGAAGGTTCATTTATTTATCAAAAAGCGAGCAACAAATCGAATCTTGACGTGTATGGAAATTATTTATCAAGAAAAATGTTATGATGATCGTTGACTTGGATTTTCAGCAATGCTTGAAAAGACAAACTTTCAACAAGTGAATTTTCGCAAGAACTTTTCGAATTAATTGCCAGTGTTTCATTGTCGGGGAAAAGAAAAAGTCATATTTCATTATGATTACACCCGTACAATATTCAATAAATGTTACATTAATTTCAAAGATACTGCTTTCAGCGATGTATGCGTATTGATCCTCTTATTTCAAGGAAGAGAAGAGCGTTTAAACAAATATCATATCGAGACAAGGCTTACTGATTCAGAAAACCTAAATCCCTTCCTCGCGTGACTCTGACGTTCAAACGCACGAGGCGGTGACAAATGATGGACACAGGTTGTTTATCCTGACCCAGAATGCGCTAAGTTGCCTGTTTTTGTATTGTTGGAACGGTATCGATGTTACTGTGAGAAAGAACTGATGACATTGGGGCTCTTGGGTGCCCTGATTTCAATTCTTTCAATTGTCATGTGACTTGTTTTCATTTCCCTGTTGAAGAGGTGTGTCCAGTTTTGACAGCAAGGGGCTTACAGCATAACGTAATGGACAGAACGAGTCGAGGAAATATCCTAGCTGCAAGAGTAAAACAGGGTATCGTAGATATTTTGCATGGTCAAACGTTTCATTACCAAGCATCTCTAAACGTCGGCAGAATCCAAGTCGGGGTAAAATGGCATACAATGGCAAGACACATGTTACATCAACCACATGTTAACATCTGTTATATTCCGGATTACACTTTCTTTGTAAAGTTCAGATTCTAGTACTTTTGTTGGGTTGAGTCCATCCGGGATTCGAACCCACACTCTCAGAGTACCTAATCGCCAGCACACAAAGTCAGACGCCTAGACCGCTCAGCCACCGCGGCTTCCACTCTGAGGGTGTGGGTTCGAATCCCGGATGGGACTCAACCCAACAAAAGTACTAGAATCTGCACTTTACAAAGAAAGTGTAATCCCAGTTATAACATATGTTACTTTTGACCACTTTCTAAATGGCATTGTGTATTTCAAAACCACATGTTAGTCGACAATTATATGAAGCATGTCGGAAACCCTCTTACAGAGAGTATGATTCAGAATATTTAGTTTTGTAATGGGTTGAATTTTGTTCTCGTGCACTAACATAATGAGTCATTTCATTGTTTCGACATTTTGAGATCAAAATTGCAAATGCGTGTGTATATACTTTAAAGACATGCAACTACAACGACTAAATTTGTTCACGAACCAGTGGGTGTGTCTCTACATACACTTCTGCGACAATGCCGATGCGACCTAAAACCCCAAACTCAACAGCGCAACTTTACTACACCTGTTTAGTGTTCCAGGAGTGAATAATACACACATCAGATCCATAACATTTACTTTTTCCGAATACATAACCTCACAAAAAGAACACAACATGCATAGTACCTTATAGTCAGCTAGTTTTCAAAAGTAAAATCTTACTGAATGTCCACTACGGTTAAAAGCATGACTGAAATACTGTTCACTCGCTGCGTAAAGAAGATTCGTATAAACTAATATCCCCTGTCGGTTCCACGGTGCATCATGACAGTGATCTCATTTAGACAAAGATGAGTGGTTGTAACGTCATTTGAATATATTACGAGACTTGAACCCTTTGTAGAGTACCTCTTGATTTCATCATAAATTCAGGCGTATGTTATTATTCTATTTCCTTTATCATAACCATACTTATGGGTAACACAATTTGTACCACGGTAACCTTTTGTGCTCATTGTTTCTTTCAGACTTTCATCATAGTCATGAAACAAATTCTTATCATCATAACAAGATATTATTCATAAAATTGTGAATCTAATCATATCTTTTCATGTTATACGTTTCATTTTGACACAAACATCAAACAGTTTTAAGCACGCTAGTTTCAAATAAATGACATGAACCTTCATTCATAACATCTTTTGACATTTAAAGGGTAAAGCCGTATTAAGAAATGTGAGCTTTTGTTTAATGAACAGGACGTAACATTGCCATCTGGCTTCAGTCCCATGTGACAATTCCTCACGAAAACAGGGTGTGGAAAGTGACTTTTCTTCTAAGGAATGTACTTTAGTGTTCCACTGTGAAAGCTTTACCCCGAGCAGTATGCGGTATCGCCGCAAGTTATGATTTTGATCTTGCGCTTCTTTAAGTGCTATGACAGTAATGGGGATCATTAATTGGCTTCTCATGCCCTCAATGGTATGTTCCAGTAATCTAAATCGACTAAAAGAGTGAGGAAGGAATGGTTGTGCCTTCTGGACAACCAGTCTTCCCATGACGGTCCATTTGTATTAGTATAATTGGTGTAAATGCTTGATTCGGACACAATATTTCATGGAAACATTAGTTCTTCAAGGCGTCTGTGAACACGACGATACCCCATGACTGTACGAATAAAACAACCTTATGAAGAAAGTGATTCCTCGTCAATGTATAGGACATTTTCTATGTACCATATCGTTGAAACCCCTTCTCACAGTGTAGAAGGAGATATCACGCAGTACATTCACACAGTTTACATTAAACAAACTAAGACGTTCAATGACTGATTTATGAAGGATATTTTTGGCTATTTCTACATGTACAACCTTTTCACGATGACCATCATATTTTGTTGAACAAAATCCAAAGAAGATATATGGATTATGAGTTATCATTCTTAAGCAAAATCTATGTATTTATTGAACATCTGTTTCTTTCAGAATGGAACGACACAGACCCCATGCCAGTGATGGTGTTCGTCCACGGAGAGTCATATGAAACCGGAACCGGAAATGCGTATGACGGAAGTGTTTTATCAAGTTACGGTGATGTCATAGTCGTCACCCTCAATTACAGACTCGGAGTGCTTGGTAACTAATTTTTGTTTCGTTATCTTGAGATATCTGTTTTGTACATGAAACAGTTGAATGAGGTCATTTTCATTACTCAATGCCTCCATATATTTTGTCCTTTTGAAGCCACCGGAGAATTATTAGACGCAGATGTTTACATGATACCCTGGGGGAATTACAGCAATAGCGAACACTTGATTCTTTTTATTAATGGAAACAAAACGATGAGTACTCTGCTTTCGGATTGTAAATGTTATAGATCAGGAACATAAATTAGTGAGCAATAAAATCTGTTTTCTTTGTTACTGATTTGGCTTTGTAGCCTGGAAACAGATAACAGACTTCTGACACTTCAGAAATTCACAAAAATATATATGAAAAAGCATTGTCAAATTAATGAAGAGATGACGAGTAGGCTTTCAATGTCAAATTATTTGTTGACCAAGAACATATGGTTGAAGCAATACGGCTACTTGCATAATATACATAATTCATTCAAGAACATTCTATGGTATTCCGGAATGCCATTGCAGAATAAATAACAACTGCATTTCATCAACAAGAACAAGCTGCGGAGCACGAATGATGTTTTAACAAATGATTCACATAAACAGCATTGCCTGAAGCGCTAATCAGCTTGTTGAATTAAGCTCTGCTTTTCATCATGAAATGCGAATGAATTTATCATTTGCGTAGTGTGCCTCTGGCCCTTTTTGTTTTGCCCTTACGCGAGAGTGATTTGATCTTGGCATGCCACTTAGGTAATTTCACCAGCATAGCTGGAGCAGTGTTTGTACAATATGCTGAAATAATGTTTACGTAAATGGTTATAATGATTTACTGGGAATAATAGCCAATGTCAGAACCAAGAGGAAATACGATTACAGTTCAAATGGGCTGGGTTAGCCAATTTCTGTGAGAGGCCTTTGGCGCAGTCGGTCATAATTGATAAAGTTTAGCGTTGTGAGCAATTCGTGAATTCGAGCGGTAGAAAAATATCCGTTCAGAATTATCCATGTGCTTTCTTTGCAACCGAACTGAGACCAAGCGTCTTCAGGAGACAATTGCCAAGAATATCTTCATAATTCCGCCTTGGGAACAAAGGTCCGAGCCAGAAAACTATCGATAGAACTCGACGAATATAAAACCTCTTCCCTCGGGGCGAAGACGTCGTTATAAGAAGGAAAATAGTATTAAAGATAGGTTGGAAAGATGTTGCCAAACAATTGAGCACGTGCCCAGGACCGTTTGCAAGTTCCAAGTCAAGAAATGAAAAGGCCAAATGCGCAGTACGGACCAAAGTCCACAGCCGAAGGCTCTTAGACCCGCAGATGCAATTTTATTCATAGATTCAGAGACTCGTGTAGGTTCGAGTTTTATTGAGGGAAAAGTAGAAGTGATAGCTGTACCTCTGAGGGAAGACATTAAAGTACGTTTCCGATACTGTGTGTTGAATGTCTGACCCCGGAGTATGTGGATTGGCAGCGCCTGAAAGGAACTTCACACATGTGATGTATGGAGGCATTGAGTGATATCAAAAGTCGAATTACTCGTGGTGGAGTTCTTTTCTGTTAATGAAGAAGCAAGTATTTCGCAAGCGTTTGTTTCTTTTGATTAAGAAGCAAGTATTTCGCAGGCGTTTGTTTCTTTTGATTAAGAAGCAAGTATTTCGCAAAAAAATGTTTCTTTTGATTAAGAAGCAAGTATTTTGCAAGCGTGTGTTTCATTTGATGAAGAAGCAAGTATTTCACAAGCGTTTGTTTCTTTTGATGAAGCAAGCATTTCGCAAGCGTTTGTAAATTTTGATGAAGAAACAAGTATTTCGCAATCACGTTTTCTTTTGCTCATTCCTCACATCAGACAGAAACTTCAGTAAAACAAGGTGTAATTTAACCATGTACAATGAAATTGCGAAATGAATAGAAACTGGTTAAATCTTTTCACTTCTGTCTTAGATGTAATTCGATATTTTTAAATGGGTTTCAGTTGTAATTGGGGAAAACCGATATTTGACTTTAAAGTGAGTCAAAATGCATGTAGTTATGACATAGATAGTTATATGTATTACTCAAATCCTAAAAAACAACGACATCAACGCCTTGTTGAATCTCTCAGATCAGATCTATATTGTTTGTTATTTGACTTAGTCTGCCATACAGACCTTGGGCTCTTTTTCATTTAATATTTCATGATTATAATTTAAGAACGTTATTACAGGCCTTAAAACAAACATATCGAAGCCAAGAGACTTTGGTAATCTAAACTTGCCACATATTCTAGACTTGCATATGCTTTCTTGGATTTGTTTGTTTCAAGGTCTGTATCTAAGCCATTGGGATGTAATGCCACATACCCAAGAAGGTCTATATGTGGCAAGTTTAGATTATCAATGTGTGTGGGCTCCTTTTCATTTTAGATTTTATGACTATAATTTAAGAACATTTTCCTTCGGTAAAGTATCCTCATTTCAGAAACTATATTTTAGTCTACTAGTGAGCTTAGGAGATGCATTTCTTTATTGTCGACTGTTTGTTATATGCGACTTCGTAGTGACAACACGAAAACGCATAGCACCATGAGCGTTACCTTGAGGTGAACATATGACATCGTCATTATCTATAAGCCGACACGCGTTAATGTTCTCGTCTTGGCACAATACCAAGGTAGAACTTACATAAACAGGTTTATAGACCTAATGTGACAAACTGTGAAAGAAAACACCAATTAGATATGAAGTAAAAATTCTGGCATTAATGAAGTGCTAAATAACGTTTACGTTTTGCTAATATTTTATTTGCTTGGCAGTATATAGTAATGTTCTAAACGACTTACTAGGGTTATATAGGTGGTTCATAACACTCTATTTTGTTCGTCCGTTACACAAGACCTAGTCATGTGCGCGTACAATAGCTTCTTGGTGAGAAAAAGAGTTTAGTTTTACGCCACTTTTAGCAGTATTCAATCAATATCACGGCGGGGGAACACCAGTCATGGGCTTCACACGTTGTACCCATGTGGGGAATCGAACCTGGGTTTTCAGAGTGACGAGCGAACGCTTTAACCATAAGGCTGCACGACCGAGACCCAGGTTCTTATTCTCGGGTTATATACTGTAATAGACAATCGTAATCAGGTCCTTATTTCTGGTATTGTTTAAGATTGGGTTTTCAGGGACATTTGTTTGTCGTAAGATGCAAACAACAAATATGTGGTCATGCTGGATATATGAAGCATGTCATCGTATACCTGCATAGTTGCTCGAGATGTCAATCACTGGATTGTGTGGTCCAGACACGATCATATACAGACTGCCGTCATGTCGCTGCCATGTTGCTTCGTGCGGAAGCGGGTTTGAAAAAACCTCATAATAATATTAAAGAATCTTCACCTTCTTGACGATATACAATTCACTGGTGTTCTTAGGAGCTCCTTATGGAGCTTTTTATAACGTGTAATGCTAAATCAATTCCAGTTTGTAACAGGAGTAAATATGACTGTGTGTTCTTCATGAGATGAAACGTCATGTTGCTGTGATTGCCATTCACACATAAACAGTAACCTGACGTACATACTAACATTCCTTTTGACACCAACCTACAGTTTATATGGCAGTAAACTATTCAATCCGTAAACCCTATATAGCAGTAGACTAATCAGTCTGTAAAACCTATATGGCAGTAGACTAATCAGTCTGTAAATCTGTATAATCGGAGTATTGATTATTGGCGGTATGTATATTCTTTTGGTCACAGTTAACTTTATGTCAACACCGCGACGCAGGATTCCAGGTTACAATAGCCTTTATAATATAATATTAATTTTCTGTAAACAAACTGACATTCTTTACAACTGGACAATTCGTACTCCCACTTTGTAGGTATTTGCATGCCACCCGATACGTTCCAGATGCATTATGGTTGTAAAATAGGATACCCGCTCCATGAACTAAAACGGCTCAGGATTGAGACAAGTTTGCCCGATTATGTTTTCATATTATATATATGAGCACGAGTCCATAAATGTTTAAAGCTCCGAGGCTTGAAGATCATCTTCTGTTGACATGATTGAATGTATGTGATATCACAGTGCAAGAGTTCAAACACATTCACACGTATTCAGATCAGTGAGACACGGTCCGATTAAATTCACTCTTTTCACAAAGTTTTAGTTTCAATGTGCCCCAAATAAAATGTCTCTCTGATTGGGTATACATGACAACCTGAACGCACAATGATAGTCAAACACTGATGTGTCGAATTTTGAATGACCTACGTAAATATTTCCAATGATCAAAACTTCGACACATCCGCAAAATGATGATTAAGTCGGAATAGTGAGTGAGTGAGTAGGGTTTTACGCCGCTTTTAGCTGTATTCTGGCATGTCACGGCGGGGGACACTGGAAATGAGCCTCACACGTTGTACCCATGTAAGGATTCGAACCCGGGTCTTCAGCAAATTAAATACATCCTACATTGACCAGACATGCTTTACGTAATTTTTGTATGCAGTTTCACAAGACATACTATTTGCAAGATTCGGGTAAGACCTGGGACCTTATTCTCGAAACGTTCGTAGCCCTAAGAATTCTTAACTTTGATCGCAGCCAATGTGTTAAGAATGGGCTGAAGAAGTTCGTTGGGCTACGAACGCTTCGAGAATAAGGGCCCTGTTCTTCAGCAACCAATGCTTTTCGTATGAGGCGACTAACGGAATCGGGTGGCCAGGCCCGCTTGTCATTGTATGTCATTTTATCTCAGTTCCGTAGATCGCTTGTCATTGTATGTCATTGTTTCTCAGTTCCGTAGATCGCTTGCCATTGTATATATGCAATGTTGCTGAGAGCGGCGTTAAACAACAAACCAACACTATTTGTCACCCAAATGTCAACCCTTAATGTTTCAGGTTTCTTGACGACGGGGAACCAGGCTGCCATGGGGAACTACGCCCTCCTTGATATCACTCAGGCTTTGCACTGGCTTAGAGAAAACATCGCCAGTTTTACTGGCGATCCTCAACGAGTGACACTGTTTGGTCACGGCCATGGGGCCGCTCTCGTCAACCTGCTGATGCTGTCGCCATTTGCGTCAGGTGGGAGTTAGTTTGTCGGGTTCTGAATGTAATGGTTCTTTAGTCTGTGCTCACACATAGAAATAGTTTCTAAATCACATTACGTTCCTTTTCCGACCAGCCCTTCTGTAATGCCAATTCCCTTGATGGAACAAGTCTAGATTTCCTCAGGTCCAGGATCTCCCATCTCACTGGGGCTGTTTGTCAGTATAGATGTATTTGTTTGTATCAAAATTGTAATCTATTCAGAGACTGAGGGTTGGTCTAACGTAAAGATCTGTTTCTTTAACCATGGGAGTGAGTAATTGAGTGAGCGGGTGTGTGTGTGTGTGGGTGGATAAGTGAGTGAGTGGGCGGGTGGGTGAGTGAGTGAGTGAGTGAGGTCGTTTTCAGAAATATCACTGCAGGAGACACCGGGTCATCGGCGTGAGGATGAACGCTTGAACAGCCAGGACACCTCACCGCCGCTCACCTTCCTGAGGCAAATGTGTGACCTTGTATCGGTATTATGGTAACGTGCCTCCGGATACGCAGTAACTCTAGATATGAGAGCATAATGACTCCGGTTATGACATTGATACCATTATCAATTGCCAGTCGAAACATATCAAGCATTATTATGTTTTCGTTCTACGAAACCATTCATCGATGTTACACAGTGAAAAATGAAACGTTCATGGCATTTAAAAATCGCAATGTTACTAGCATAAGCGGTTTATGTATTATGCTCCCCGTGAAGATCCGGGTTAGAATTGATCTGCACAAATTCATGCTTGCCGTTAAAGGCGATTACCGGGATCGGATGGGCATTCTCGCTGACTTCGTTGAAGCATGTCATCATAACCTAGTTAGATAAATCGATATTCATGAAGTCAATCACTGGATTGTGTGGTCAAGACGCGAGTCATATTCCTGTAATATTGCAGCGTCGCTTTGAACAAACGTTAGACAAAATATAGTCACAAATAATTAGTTCATATACTTATCGATAAATGCATAGATCTATAAATGTATAATACAAACGCGATGCATACGAAAATAATATTTACCTGATAATATTCAATCAGCATTACATAATTTTGTATTTGTTAAAATGAACTTTTCACATGAGAATCAGTGACGTTTCAGTGAGGCAATAAGCTATGTGTTTCAGCCATGTTCAATCTATATCAATCCAAACGAGACAACATAGTTCACTTATTGAAGTCCTCCTACATTAGCCGTGCGCGTGGCCTTCCCAGCTGAAGAAGTAATGAGAGTAATAGATGATGACAAGCTGTCGGTATTCATAGACTCCAGTCTCCCATAATTTGTTTCGGATCCCTGACTTCTGTGACATGTCCATCTGAGGTTCAGCATACTTTCACGAAGCCATACGTCACTCGGGGCGAGTCGCGCTTGCCTTCCGTTTATAGTGAGCTAGCGAGTCTTGTAACAATTTTCATTTCCAAGTGGTCAGATTTAATCTTGCTAGAATCCCCAAGAGTCAGACCGCACACTCCTAGAACATTAGCAACACTAGGAATCACGGGCACAACGTTCATAATTGGAATTAATGTGAGACCAAATACAGTGAATCTTGGAAAGTGAGGTCGTTCTGTAAAGTATCTCTTACCATCACGGAATTCCGTGAATCAAGTTGGAATAATCAGGTTGTGAATTAGAGGACCGAGATCTACTTAACCTGATAATTCACACACACACACACACACACACACACACACACACACACACACATCTAATAAAGCAAGATATTATACTAACATGTCTGCAAAGGACAGTAAAACAACTAGATTATGACAGAAATATATTTAAAACTAATAATTAATCTAAATTATTCTAACTATAAATGACAAAACAATATAAAAACAGGTTATTTATTGCCAACAAATGAAGGAATATGGCCATACTAGGGACCATGGGGACCTACAGTACATTTGCTTTCTGCATGAACCCTAGCTTGATTTACACCATCCCTTCAGCCGTTACCAATTTAGACAAATCTAGCCATACATTAAAAAGACACATATTTTACGATTAAAAAAGTGGAAAGATTTAATTTAATTTGAATGTTTCGGGACTTAGGAGGACAATACATTTGAAGTATGAAGAGTGTATGTTCTTACACATATGTGTTAAATACCTGGTGTATACATACCTGCGAAAAAATGGCCCAGGGAATTTCTGTTTTTAATCACATTTTATTGACATAAATGGGCTTAGGCAACAGTTATCCAATTTCGGTGCAATCGCACTAATGTATATACATGTATGTGACGTTGATTTGTATGAAGAGTCGATTACATAATATGAACTCCCAGTCAGCTGTATGAGGCAAACGCTTGCATTATGGTTCTGAAAAAATAATCCTGTTTAGTTCTGTAATCAACTTTTAAACATCCGATTGACAACATTTATACTTATTTTCCTAACAGGAAGGCGTTCAAAATCCCACCCAAGATGTAATCAATCCTACATCTGTTAATAAACAGACATTTGCAATGCCAGTGCTTACTTCCCTCAAAACACCAATGTGTAATCCCCGCGCTGACACGAAACATTCCCCACAATTAAATCGTACAATATACCATATACATGCTATCCATTCACGTTGTAAGGGAAGAAAGTATGTGGTTAAACACCGTCGTATCCAGTTCTGGATGGATACAAAATTGATACATGTCCGTCTGGATACTGATCCTGTCTACATAAAGGTATTTGGCTAAAGGCGGTTATTGTGATATGTTTTCGTTTACATATGATCAGTGTGTATCTGGATGAAGTTATGATTGGAAATGGGAGACATGATGTCCTGCACATAATTATGATTCGCTTTTAAGGATCTAACAAGAGCGTGCTTGTGAGGTTTAACTGATATCTCAGTTTATATAACATGGCAGTCGTGATGAATACATCGTCCACTTTGTAATGCCATGTTATGTGAGTATTATTACATTATGATCAATCAGAACCAAATTAAATATGCAGTTTATATTTGGTAGAACCAACTTCCTGACATCCTCACGCCTACATCATGGACAATGTCATGACTCCAGTGTTTACCAGCATCCTCAGCCCGTTTCCTTTTCGGAGTAAATGAACACTTGCAGCATCTCATCTATTTGTCTGTCACTTTCAAACGTCTGGCCTGTTTGTCATTTCACACAATGAGGAAAATAACGCCATTATACGGATGCATTTACGTCAATCCTGGTTTAATACGTGGCCATGATTCTCAAAAAAATTCGTTATTGTATTTCGCAGGTGTTGAGCTGCACGATTCCTTCAAGACTTGTTCGTATTGCCTTTGTCACAGATGGACGATATCACATGGCAGCATATGTATTTTTTATACCGTGATCTACAAGCTCGGAGCAAATATTTTTTGTTCGCATTCGCATTATGTCGTATTGTATCGAACAGTGAGGCCTTAAATTTAAACTAATGAACTATTGACACAGAAAACAGTAAACAGCACGGCAAAGGTAACGTTTTGATACGAAAAATTCGTTATTGTATTTCGCAGGTGTTGAGCTGCACGATTCCTTCAAGACTTGTTCGTATTGCCTTTGTCACAGATGGACGATATCACATGGCAGCATATGTATTTTTTATACCGTGATCTACAAGCTCGGAGCAAATATTTTTTGTTCGCATTCGCATTATGTCGTATTGTATCGAACAGTGAGGCCTTAAATTTAAACTAATGAACTATTGAGACAGAAAACAGTAAACAGCACGGCAAAGGTAACGTTTTGATACGAAAAATTCGTTATTGTAAATAAATATTTTTTGTTCGCATTCGCATTATGTCGTATTGTATCGAACAGTGAGGCCTTAAATTTAAACTAATGAACTATTGACACAGAAAACAGTAAACACCACGGCAAAGGTAACGTTTTGATACGAAAAATTCGTTATTGTATTTCGCAGGTGTTGAGCTGCACGATTCCTTCAAGACTTGTTCGTATTGCCTTTGTCACAGATGGACGATATCACATGGCAGCATATGTATTTTTTATACCGTGATCTACAAGCTCGGAGCAAATATTTTTTGTTCGCATTCGCATTATGTCGTATTGTATCGAACAGTGAGGCCTTAAATTTAAACTAATGAACTATTGACACAGAAAACAGTAAACAGCACGGCAAAGGTAACGTTTTGATACTCCTCGCATAAACCGTTTTGTCATAAAAAAAATCTCTTCCTTACGTTTTGTCATAGTTTTTATTCTGTAAAATCTGAGGATGTTGCCAAAGTAACAGGGTGTTTCAGCCAAAACTGTTTCTGCTGCATGATCCTGTAGCAACAAGTGCCAGCTGTAAACCAAAAGCAGTATGGAAATCCCAAACGTGTCAAGCCGCTGGCTGCAGAGTTAATGTATCTGAAGCAAAATAATAATAATAATTCACAATACACATTGTGATCGGTTGTTTTCCTTTCTTCGTCACTATAGGACCCATATGCCAATAGTACACTGATCATTAGTACATTCAGAAGTATGTGTGTGTGTGTTTAGCACTAACTTGGTGGACCGGATGTCCAAGTGGAAGCCTGGGATTGTTAATCCAGGCGTAGTTGATGAGGTAACAATAGTGTAATATGTGTTCCGAATTGGGTTACGATCTCACATTCCCGGAAATTCGCTACGTATAAACATCGCACACACCATTGTATTGTTACGTCGTCAGCTGTGATGGCGTCATTCAAATCATATCGTGACGTAAAGTCTGAATCACGTCACAATTGAGCAGTTCCAGATGCTACTACCATAGGAGACAGCCGAAACGGCCAGCTGATGACATTTCACTGCTGGGCTGGTACTCGATGTCAATGAGTGCAGACACAAAAACGTGTGTGGACCTTTCGGTCTACTTTTGTGTTTACAATGTCGATAATGTCGGTTTCAAATGAATTCCCGTGCTTCAAATACTCAAAAACACCCGGAAATTGGCCAACACGTGATGTTTATCTCCTATTTGACATATCCTATGACCGAGTACAAGATATGCATTTTCCTTCACAGAATGAACGTTACCAGTATGTCACTAGAGTGATCACATAAGACATATCCCTCGCCAACTTATATACCCCGCCACACCAACCCAAGGAACTATCAATCTACCTTCACTATTTCTTTTGCAGAAGGTCGTGGTCCGTTCTTCCAAAGAGCCATCATTCAAAGTGGCTCCGCATTGAGCACCTGGGCCGTGTCCTACGACCCTGTTTGGTGCACTCAAAAACTTGCCATCAATGTCAACTGTAGCCGGTTCATAAGTGATTCCCAAAAGCTCATCAAATGTCTCAGGGAACGTACGTACGAGGAGCTTGTAAATGCAGTTCCCAAGGCACCGAAGTATTATTCGTGTTTTGCTCCATCCGTCGATGGATGGTCGGTGCTTCCAAAGAAGGTGATGGAGATGATTAATGAGAAGAAGATGAAGTTTGCATCAGCCAAGGTCATGTTTGGCATTACCAAGAACGAAGCGTACTCCTACCTAAAACAACAAGAGATCAAAAAAGGAATATCCGAATTCCGGAAAACGCAAATAATCAGAACTTATGTGCAAAATGTGTTCCGATACCACAGACAGAAAGTATTTGAGATTCTTGATCACCATTATTCGGACTGGAACCGGATATCAGACAAAATTTCCAAGAGAAACAATATCATGGATTTGCTTAGTGACGGGCAGTATGTTGCACCATTGATGGAAACGGCCCAGAAACATGCAGAAACAGCCGACACTTATTTATATGCATTTACGTACTCTACCCAGTCAGAGAATTCGCAGGATGTACATGGTATCCATGGTGATGAACTGCCATATGTTTTTGGTGCTCCTATTGTTGATGGATTGTCTCCCTTTCCCTCCACTTACACCAGCGCAGAGAAGATGCTTAGTGAGGCTGTGATGACATACTGGACGAATTTTGCCAAAACTGGGTGAGTGTTATTAATAGCAAACCTTGGATTGTTGTTCAAGTAAACTTAGTATTTCGGCAGTTTCTTTCAGGAAACATATTCTAGAATCAGCTCATATGGAAGTTCGAGCGAGCTGGGGCGGTGGGGTAGCCTAGTGGTTAAAGCGTTGGCTCGTCACGCCGAAGACCCGGGTTCGATTCCCCACATGGGTACAATCTGTGAAGCCCATTTCTGGTGTCCCCCGCCGTGATATTGCTGGAATATTGCTAAAAGCGGCGTAAAACTAAACTCAGTCAGTCAGTCGAGCGAGGTAATGTCCATTATATTGAGGTCACATTTAATCATTTCGCGAAACAACTATCAACATCAACATTAAACTAAGACCTATGTCTCATTTTACCTGTTTTATTCTTATAATTATTATGTGATATTTATAATTCATTTTTTTCTTAAATGTATTTTGAAAATAACATTATAACCAAACAGAAACAGAGAGGAAAACGTATTTTGTTGTATGCGTTATACTTTTTTTACATGTTCGTACTTTCCACAGAATGGTTTGTTTTTTGTTGTTTTGTTGTTAGTTTGTTGTTGTTGTTTTTTTGTTTGATTTTTTACTTTAAAGGAGAATTGGTTTACTATATTGCCAAGCAACTGGAGTCAGTTGGATTTTCATCCTTGACGGTAAAAAACGTGCGAATATATGTACAGTTAATTTTATCATCGATTGACCTAATATCCAAATGTGTTTTTCTTGTCTAAATGTTTCTATCACAATGTTAAACTTCTTAACCCTTGTCGACAACATTTCTCAAGGGAGATACTAATCTGATTTGATTGATTAGTAGAGACGTATCTGGAAAAAAATCAGTTGAGTTCTACAGAGATGAGTCAGCAAACCTGTGCAACGATCTTAGTGATTAGTTGGAGTGTGTCTATATAACTCTATAGTAAGCATTGGAAACAACAGGGAGTTGTTTGATGGTTTGTGTATTCACCAACATAACTTAGTTTTTGTGGCATTTTAGATGTACACTATTCAAAAACTTTATGCGTAACCACTTCTTTTATTTCATGGGTGCGACATTCGATACAGATACCATTGTCAAGCAGGAATGTCATTGAGTTCAGTCTTTACGCCGCCTTTAGGAATAGTCCAGCACTATCATGGCAGGAGACAACAGAAATGGGCTTCACAAATGCCCATGTGGGGAGTAGAACCCGGGTCTTCGGCGTGACGAGCGAACGCTTTAACCACAAGGCTGTCCCACCGCCCCGAATGTAACGCAGCACTCACGAAATAAGAGAACTTAATATCCATAAAGTTTGTCAATATAATAACAGCATAGTGTATCAACAATTGTCAGGGCAGATACTGTCTGATTTTCATAACCCTTCTGGAACGTAACCCTTGCTTTTATAACAATGCCCTCTGAGGACATCTACCTCCTCGAGTATTCTTCTCTGAAACAATAACACACAAACCATGATAAAATAAACCGATAAGCTGTCTGCTATTTCAAAAATATAAATTACGATTCCATAATCGTCCTATCTTTCAGGCTGTAACGCTAGACTTGTTCCGCGAGCACATTATCGGTTGTCTGCTGGGGAATGATTTCAATTTCCAATGTCAAAATAAATTGATTTTCCCGATGTGAATTGCACGTTAAGATAATTCGACCTTTAGCTTCAGTCAAGAGAAAAATAAATTGAATATTCCCCGTATTCGTGAAATATCGACAACGTGAGGAACGGCCAGGTATCATTGGACATTAACACGAGGGTGACAGTCTGACACAGATGGTGCCGACAGCGTGATATTTTATAGGTAATGCAATACACTACACACCTGATGCAACCAGTGAAAATCCAGGGTAGATTGATCTTCAGTAGCCTATGCTTGCAGTAAGAGGCTATTAACGGGATCGGGTGGTCAGGCACATGTCATTGCATCCCAACCATTGCTCATGCTGTTGATCAGTGGATTGTCTAGTCGATTATTTACAGACCGCCACTATATAGCTGGAATATTGCTGAGTTCCTTTAAACAACAAACCAACTTTACTATCATCTGATGCATGGAATGTGAGCAAGATTCTCATACTGGTGAAAATGGAATGTAAATTGTGTCTACATCTATCTTCGTTTGTCATCTCAAGCGAACATCTTTTGATCATATCATTTATTGAAGACAGTCATGCATCAACATGTGTCTGTTTCATCGTAATGCACACGATGAATAGGTATCGTTAAGATACCATACTAATGGCACTAATATGTTTGTGTATGACGGTTCTCTGACAGCATATACATAGGAAGTAATTTTTTTATCTCAATCAACAGACCAGAGAACATATTCAACTTCATATGGAGATTACACGCTATGCCGCTAGGTGTATAGAAATCCATGTAAGCGTAGCCTTGCTCCAAGGCAGTACTGAATGCTAAGCCAAAGGAAGTTTTTATTTTTATTTTATTTATTTGTTAGTATTTGTATAGCCTCAATATCCAGCTCATCTCATCTGCTCTTGTTTTTCCTTCAATCATAGGATGTCAATCTCAACGGCACATCTTATTTTTCAATCTCAAATCCCTGGGGAGCATACAATGTAAAGTAATTCTATCCTTCAAAGAGTCAATTCTAGATTAGCGGACGGACGCCAATTAGTTAGAGGGACAATATGTTCTTTGTATTCATAGTCTTTTAGAAATTATCACTCAAACTATTATTTATTACCTTAGAGACCTTTGCAAGTCTAATGTGATCCCTTCACAGTGATTTGCCGGGACATATCTTCCAAAACGTTTGAACCAATTATACAACTCAACTATTTACAGGTATAATTAGATGCAAGATAGAAATGTCCCTAGCAAACATACACAAGTATATGTTGAAGCTTCTGATGATTTTGGAAGTCATTTCTTCTTTCAGTATATCCTGTTAGTTAGGTTGTTAGTTTCAATTACAGTTTCCGTGAATCCATCCAAATTTGGGAATATGAAGGTGAATTAATATATACGTATATATGTCTGGGACCAACTGCATAATGTCTACCTCGGAGAGGCTAGTCCTCGTAGGTCCATTGAGTGTCACCGTATCAACAGCATTGGAATATGATATCGATCTGTGAGGCCAGACAAATCAGTGGTCAGAACCTGTAAACAACAGTCCAGACCGTCGATGAATTAATGGCAGAATTTAACTAGGTCACGTATGAATGATGGTCTTCCCTCCGAGCAGATGATGTTCATCCATAACAGTCACCATTACCATCTGATCCTCATTAACGGCTTCGTTACAGTTATTGCGCCAGGCTCAGATTCTCGCCGGGCTTGTTGACTTGGCAGATGGGCTGTTAATTAATCTGTTTATTGACAGTAAGGAGCTATATTTTGATTATGGTAATTCATTGCGTAACTGCTAAAGATAAAGAAACTGCACGATACCGTTATGTAGAAACAGGATTGGAATTGATCCATTTGTCAAATGAGGCTTGGTTTAGAAATGTCTGGCCGGAGTAAATGTCAAAATGACCACCGAGAAAACTTTCCGTTGCACAATGACCAATCCACTGACCAGAGTAATATACGTAATAAAGTAATTACTGTGACCATGCATCCAGTATTGTTGTTGTTGTTGTTGTTGTTGTTGTTCTGGTATAGAAACATAAATAACATAGAATGGTTTCATCCTTACGAAAGATGAGATCTAAAAATCTTTACTCACTTAGCGCAGGTATAGCTGTTCTCTCCTAAATCGGATACAGTGCTGAAGAAACCTGTTTTCGTGTTAAACAGATGTTCAATAAAGAGCAGGTGCTAACATTCGTTTTGGCTCGAAATGCAAATGCCAACTGAAAGTAGATTGCTTGCACAAAGAGATTATTGCGACGGACGGTACATGCTTTTTCCTCTAAGTGTTGGGAACTCCGCCCCAGGATAGTCCCTCAGTACCCAATTCTTGCTGTAAAAGTCGACTAAAAGGAGATTCGTGAATGGCTCATTGCCTTGGCTGATTGCGTGCGTGGTCCTCGATGGCGGCGGTTGGTTTTCATTTTTTCGGTCACTGGTTGCCGTCTCATTTTCAGGACAGCATATCCCTGAGAGATACGCGGAGAACGTCCACTCTAACGCTAAATCCATGCGAATTCCAAGATGCCCAGAATTCAGCATCCTTGTCATCAGAGGAATATGAAATGATTGCTTTTGCTCAGATCTGAACATTACTCATAAGCTGATAGCAGCTTAAGGAAATTCCGTGGCATTAGATATGCCTAATTGGACAATGGCATAGCTGTCAATCGAGATGTGTCTTAGCATGTAAATGTGAGATCTTTAATTCCATGCAAATTCTTCATTGACTGAAGAATGGTTACTGTTACCCAGATGCTTTAATTCTGAATCGAATAAAACTGTCAACTTAATGTCCTGAATGAATATCGTATTTTCAATAATTGACTCGAAACTGATGTTTAACAACACATGAACTTTATGCAGTATTCTGTTGTCATGGAAACTGATGCCCGGTTGGCGTCATGGGTTTCTTTTCAAACATAAGGGATAATTTGATTGCGACGAAAAAACTGATTAGTGCCCCAATCATGGGCCTTTTAGAAAAAGTATTTTCGCAAAGAGTCTAAAGAGGATTATTACTTTAGGAAAATTAGCAATCGCATTGGGAACAATTGTAATAGCCTCAGAATTGAAATAATAGACGCAAATGTTGAAGAATTTGTGAAAATGTTGTCATCAATAAAAATGATGTAGAACCGCAACTACTAATGGTCTCAATGTGATCGGTTCCCGTTTTAAATGTGCAAAATGACACTTAGAGAGAGAGAGAGGTAAACCTAGAGATCGATAAGGAGAGACAAAGAGAGAGAGAGAGAGTGTGTGTGTGTGTGTGTGTGTGTGTTGTGATGTGGCTGATCTAATAAAACTGTTTCTCCATTAAATGCAACTTCTAAGACGAGAAATGGGTCCATTAAATTCTGCTTAACATTGATTCTGTTGTAATT